AATTTAAAAATTAAGAATTGAACATTCTTCGGCCGATGCGTGACACGGGGCGATTTTTCTCTATGGACCCCATGAGAACCGGTCTAGCTCCGGAAATATTGCTCGGATCACCTCAAAACTTAGTGCGTTGGATTCCTGAGACAATTTCACACCTAAATAGCTGCATAGCAACGTTCTAAAAATTAATTCAAAAATTAAAATTGAACATTCTTCGGCCGATGCGTGACAAGAGGCGATTTTTCTCTATGGACCCCATGAGAACCGGTCTAGCTCCGGAAATATTGCTCGGATTACCTCGGAACTTAGTGCGTTGGATTCCTGAGACAATTTCACACCTAAATAGCTGCATAGCAACTTCTAAAAATTAATTCAAAAATTAAAAATTGAACATTCTTCGGCCGATGCGTGACAAAAGGGGATTTTTCTTCTATGGACCCCATGAGAACCGGTCTAGCTCCGGAAATATTGCTCGGATCACCTCGGAACTTAGTGCGTTGGATTCCTGAGACAATTTCACACCTAAATAGCTGCATAGCAACTTCTAAAATTAATTTAAAATTAAAATTGAACATTCTGCGGCCGATGCGTGACAAGAGGCGATTTTTCTCTATGGACCCCATGAGAACCGGTCTAGCTCCGGAGATATTGCTCGGATCACCTCGGAACTTAGTGCGTTGGATTCCTGAGACAATTTCACACCTAAATAGCTGCATAGCAACTTCTGAAGATTAATTTAAAAATTAAAAATTGAACATTCTTCGGCCGATGCGTGACAAGAGGCGATTTTTCTCTATGGACCCCATGAGAACCGGTCTAGCTCCGGAAATATTGCTCGGATCACCTCGGAACTTAGTGCGTTGGATTCCTGAGACAATTTCACACCTAAATAGCTGCATAGCAACTTCTAGAAATTAATTTAAAAATAAAAAATGGAACATTCTTCGGCCGATGCGTGACAAGAGGCACCAGCGCAGAATTATCGATGAAGAGCAAAAAACCACGAGGGCAAGAGGGACTGAAGACCGATACGGAGCAGGAGAAAAGGAGAAGAGCCCCGAGGAAATACCAAGGGTCCGTTATCGTCGGGATTCAGAACGGATCTTTCGCCGAAGTCTTGAAGAAACTGAAGCATGAGGTGGACGAGAAGGAGCTCGGCGTGGACATAAGTGGGGTGAGACAAACAGAGCGGGGGATGAAACTCCAAGTTAGGGAGAAGAAAACAGGCGGACAAGCGAGGCTGGCAAAATACATCGAGGAGCAGCTCAAGATGAAGACTCAGATCTCAGGACCAGCGCTCAGCACCACCGTCGCGGTCTACAACATGGACCTAGTTACTACCGAAGACGAGATCGAAGAATCCATACGAAAAGCCATTAGGCTGAGTCGTGAAAACCCGATCAGAGTAGAGAAAATTAGGACAAATGAGAGAGGCGAAAGATCAGCGCTCGTGAGGCTAGCGAGGATCGACGCAGACAGACTCTTGACAGCCGAACGAATAAAGATTGGATGGCAAACCTGCAGGATCCGAGCATGGCGAACGGTGGCGGTCTGTTTCAAGTGCCAAGAAGTTGGGCACAGAGCACACGAGTGCAAAGAAAAAGAAACCAAGGCGAGAAGATGCTACAAGTGCGGAAAAGAGGGACATCTCACCAGAGACTGCGGTGAATCTGACATCATCTGTCAGAACTGCGAGACGGAGGGTCACTCGAAGTACTCCTCAAAGTGTCCTAGATTCAAGGAGCTGCTCGGAGACCAACTGAGCAAGAAGGCTCAAGGGAAACCAGCGCCTTCCGAGCAGGAGGAACCCGCGCAGAAGCAAGATAGCGAAAAAGCGGACCCCAAGGAGAACACAGGGACTGCTTCTCAGGAAGGCGAGACTACGGGAAGCGGAGAAAGCGAACCAATGCAGACCGAAGAGACCGGGGAGAAATGGAAACTCGTCCAGAGCAGAAGGAAACAAAACAACAGAGATCACGATGATAAAGATAGTCCAGATAAACCTCAATAGGACCAGGGCCGCGCATGCCGCCCTGGAGAGCCTCGTACAGAATGAGAAAATCGACATTTGTATCATCAGTGAAGCAAACAGGAAGATATCCGAAGAACTTAGGAAAGGAGATGAAGGGTGGTTCGCAGACGAAGAAGGCGACACGGCCATCTGGATCACCGGGGCGAAAGCACAGCTCAGAATCATGAGCTCAAACACAGTGCGCGGACTCACACACATAGAGCTAGAAGACGGAGCCAACATAGCGAGCTGCTATTTCTCCCCAAATAAAGATGACGATGAATTCACGGACTATCTCGAGCGCTTACAGGACCTTCTGAGAAATAAGCATGCATCCACATGGATAGTAGCGGGGGATTTTAACGCAGCCTCGCGCACCTGGGGAAGCCGAAGAACATCGCGCGGAGGATATGAGGTCGAAGAACTAGCGGCCACAAACGGACTGTTTATACTCAACGACGGTGAGACTCCGACGTTCAGAAAAGGGACTCTGGAGTCCTACATAGATATCAGCCTGACAAATAGGCCGGATCTCATGGGACACTGGGGCGTTGATGACAACACGGAGCTGATAAGCGACCACCAAGCCATCAAGATGCACTTTCGCACCGAAATAGGAACAGGAGAAGAACAAAGATACCATACAAGAAAATGGCGAGGTAAAGACATAAGCCGGCCTGAATTCCTCACAAAAATAGACTCCGCGTGCCGGGGAACGCGAGAAACCATGAGGACCGCAGATGAAAATTTCGTATCGGAACTCCTTGTGGAAGCATGCGATGCATCGGCTCCCCGCATCCGACCGGGCACGGGCAGGAAGAGACCCGTTCCATGGTGGAACCCAGATATAAGCGCTGCCAGAAAACGATGCCACCGAGCAAGGCGGCTCTACGTCCGCTCAAGGAAGCGGGCCTCGTTGAACCCTACTGGAGTTGATAGCCTACGGGAATCCTACAAGGAAGAAGGAAGCACGCGATAACTACCAGAAAGAAATTCTGAAAAGTAAGAGACAGAAATGGAGGGAATTGTGCGACTCGATCAAGGACGACGTCTGGGGACTCGCATACAAAACTGTACGAGACAAGCTCGGAAAGCGAAGACTCAAGATCCCGAGAGAAAAAATGGACAGAGCGATCTCGGAACTTTTCCCCAGGGGAACACCTTTTAGAAGGCCCGAATATCACGTAGACACGGAACAAATACCGAAAACAACGATTGAAGAGGTGAGAGCCGCGGCGGAGAGACTCGCAAATGGGAAGGCAGCCGGACCAGACGGAGTCCAACCCGAAGCGGTCAAACTGCTCATGAAGAGGTGGCCTCAAATCTTCGCGGACATGGTCGACCGCATCCTGAATAAGGGCGTCTTCCCTGACCGGTGGAGAACGGCCAAACTCGTCCTCGTCCCGAAACCAGGAAAGAAAGATGCCTACAGACCGATATGCCTCTTAGACACGGTAGCAAAAGCATTCGAAACGATCATAAATCGAAGACTGCAAGATGAATTAAAAGGCACAAATGGCATCTGTGCCACCCAGTACGGATTCCGGCCAGGAAAATCGACGCTATCGGCTCTGGAAAGCGTCTACAAGACTGTCGAAACGGAATTGGGAAAACCGTGGTACAGGCGATCGAGGACGCTCATCGTGCTCCTCGACGTCAGAAACGCCTTCAACTCCGTAGAATGGATGGTGATCATGAGAAGCCTCCAGACGAAGGGGGTGTCGACGTACCTCCAAAGGATACTCTCATCATACCTGGAAGGTAGACGCATCGCCGACGACGACGGCCAAACACATGAAGTGACAGCCGGTGTACCTCAGGGTTCGGTCCTAGGGCCAACCCTCTGGAACATAGCGTATGACGGGGTTCTCCGACTGCCCCTACCCGCGGGGGCTAGAAGCATCGCCTATGCTGATGACCTTGCACTGCTCGTCACGGCAAGCAGCATGGCAGAGGTTGAAGAGGTCACCCAGGAGGCACTCGACCGAGTAGCAAGATGGATGCAGAAGAACTGCCTCGAACTTGCACCACAGAAATGCGAAGCAGTTATGCTGACCAAGCGAAGAAACGACGACAACCCCGATATCAGATTGATGGGGGAGAGGATTAGGGTCAAAAACCACGCAAAATACCTGGGTGTAATCCTGGAACAAAACCTCACGGGTAGAGCTCACGTCGAGAGCGTCCTCGCGAAGGCAGCCAAAGTCTCTATGGGCATGGCCAGGATCCTCCCGAGGACACATGGAGCAGGCGAATACCAGAGAAGAATGATGGCCGCGGTAGCCGAGTCGATCGCTCTGCACGCAGCCCCAGTTTGGGCCCCCAGGGCCCTGGGGTTCCAGAAATACAGAAAGCTGCTGGAGAAGACTCAGAGAATCATGGCCATTCGAACAACGAGGGCCTACAAGACGATATCAACGGACGCCGTCCTCGTACTGGCCAGGATGCCCCCCTGGAGCCTTCTGGCTATCGAGAGAGTGCGCCTACACGAAGGAAGAAAAAATCGGGATTCCCAAGACGGCCCCAGCGGAGAGGCTCTGGGAGATCCGACCGAGGAAGAAATTAAAGAACGTACGCAGCAAGAATGGCAAGAACGCTGGGACAACTCTACAAACGGACGATGGACCCACGGCTCCATCCCCAACCTACGCAGATGGCTCGACCGAGACTTCGGCGAGCTCACCTATTACACCCCGGTCACGGCGACTTCCGGGAGTACCTCGCCTCGAGGGGCATCGTGCAATCCGGACACTGCGAGCACTGCACAACTGGAAAGATCGACGACGTCAGCCATACAGTTTTCGAATGCTCAGAGTTCGCACAGCAAAGGAAGGGCTTGACGGCTCGCACAGTACCAGAAATAGTGGACCAGATGCTCGAGACCGAAGAGGATTGGACACGGAACACGCAGATCATCGAGAAAATCATGAGGAAAAAGGAGGCGAGCAGCAGGAGAAAATGAGGACGCTGCCCACCTCGGAGGACCTCGTTTAGAAGATTGGAAGCCGAAAATATAGAAGCTGCGGAAGACTCGATACAAGCTGAGCAGCGGGGAAGCTGGATGTATTAAATCAGAGATGGTGGCCTCGGCCCTCTCTCAGTTCCCGGCTCCCTGACCTGCATAGAGGGCTAGGTTTTTAGTGGGTGCAAGCCCCACACTACCTGGGTGAGACCTCACCTCGTCCCAGGTGTGCGTAAAGGCATTTTCCTACCCCTCTTGAAAAAAAAAAAAAAAAAAAAAAAAAAAAGTAACATAGTCATAGTCATAGTCATAGTCATAGTGCATGGATAATCGCGGGAGATTTCAACGCGGCGTCCTGTACCTGGGGAAGCCGCAGAACATCGCGAAGAGGATACGAGCTCGAAGAGTTTGCCGCCACGAATAATCTATCCATTCTGAATGATGGGGAAAGTCCAACGTTCACGAAGGGAGTACTGCAGTCCTTCATAGACATCAGTCTAACTAACAGACCGGAGCTCGTGGAATACTGGAGCGTGAAGGAATCGACAGAGATGATCAGCGATCATCAGCCCATAGAACTGCATTTTCGCACCGGGAGGCAGGTCAGAGGGGAACAACAACCCTACCAGAAGAAATGGCGAGGAAGAGACCTGTGTCGACAGGAGTTCTTCTCGAAGGTAGATTCGGCTTGCCAGGAAGCGAAGGACAGAAAGACAATCGTGGACGACAAATTCGTATCTGAACTCCTTTCCGCAGCATGCAGTGCCTCGGCCCCACAACACTCGAGTCACCTCAGGAAGAAAAAACCTGTCTATTGGTGGACTAAGGACATTGGAGAGGCGAGGAGGCGGTGTATTCATGCAAGGAGGCTCTTCACCCGCGCAAGGAAACGAGCCCAAGACAACCCGGTCGGAGTCGAAGTCCTAAGGACAGCCTACAAGGCCGCGAGAGACAGCTATCAAAGCGAAATCTCAAGAGCAAGCGACAAAAATGGAAAGAGCTGTGCGAGTCAGTGAAGAACGACATATGGGGCTCCCATACCAGATTATTCGAGAAAAAATCGGCAGGAGAAGGCTCAAGATACCGAGAGAGAAGACGGACAAAGCGATCGCGGAGCTCTTTCCGAAAGGAACACCCTTCGAGCGACCCAAGTTCCTTGTGAATCCGACAGAAATCCCGAAAATTACAACCCAAGAAGTGAGAGCCGCCGCCGAAAAACTCGCGACTGGGAAGGCCAACGGCGCGGACGGGATTCCACCCGAGGCAGTCAAGCTACTGATGAGCCGATGGCCCGAAATTTTCGCAGAAATGGTGGATAACATCTTAGCAACAGGGGACTTCCCGGAAAGATGGAAAACCGCCCAGCTGATTCTTATCCCGAAATTAGGAAAGAAGGACGCGTATAGACCAATATGCCTCTTGGACACGACCGCAAAGGCTGTCGAATCTATCCTGAACCGGCGACTCCAAGAGGAACTACAGGACAAAGGAGCCCTCTCCGACAGCCAATACGGCTTCCGACCCAAGAGGTCCACTATTACAGCCTTGGAAAACGTGTATGATGCCGTCAACATGGAGCTGCAGAAACCACCATGGCGGAGAGCGAGAACGCTCATCGTGCTTCTCGATGTTAAGAACGCCTTCAACTCCGTGGAATGGTCAGTGATCCTGAAGAACTTACGATCGAAGGGCATATCCGAATATCTCCAGAGGACTCTGTCATCCTACCTCAAAGACAGACACATCATCGACGAAGATGGAAGAAGACACGGAATGACAGCCGGGGTCCCGCAGGGCTCTGTGCTGGGACCTACGCTGCGGAATATAGCGTACGACGGAGTCCTACGTCTGCGACTACCGGAGGGAGCTCGGACCATCGCGTACGCCGATGACCTGGCTCTCCTGGTCACGGCACGAAGTATGACAGAACTCGAGGAGATCACGCAAGAAGCGCTGGATCGAATAGCAAGGTGGATGCAGCAGAATCGTCTAGAGCTGGCCCCGCAGAAATGCGAGGCTGTTATGCTCCTCAAGAAAA